GCCCAGCCTATATTAAACCGTCCGCAGGGTGTGGCAGTTGCGAAAACCATCCGGTTAATATGGTTTTCTTCGAAGTTTTTTTCCGCACCCCATACGGGGGATCGAACCCGTGCTCCCAAATCTGTTAAATTAGGGCTCAACGGCTACGGTTAACCATTACACCAAAGGGCGGTACCTATTAAATGTCCGGGTTCGATGACTGGAGCAACCGGAGGGGCGTTTATATCAGATGGCTTGGGGTCAGGCAGCAGCAGGCAGGAGCGACCCGGGCAGGCAGGCACGTGGGGGCCCACCTCGCCCTCGTTTTGATATTGATATCGGACACTCGTCAGACGGCAGTCACCTCACCGTGCCGTTTGGCGTCCCCGCTTGGAGTTTCCATCGTTACAACGCATGCCGAGCCTTTCCTCTCGATGGCGCACAAGAATACGACAGCCATCGCAAGCAGGCCTGCTTAGGTGCCCAGATGGTCGCTTCACCTCGCCCAGCTCTGACAAGACTCTTTCCCGGGGGAGGAAAAAGAACGACTCTATCCCGTTGTTTGTCTTTGGCATATTTCCCTGGAAGTTTAGAGAAATAGACACGGCCTGCAAGCATGTGGTATAGCGATGCGCCATGGTAGTCTTTGGGCCCGGGTATCTCGGATGGCACTTTTAGATATATTTATGCATATTCTACCCCATGGCAAGCACAGCACAGCACACATTTTGCTTCTGATCACCTTGCACCTAGTGCTGTACCCCGCGGGGCCCAGGTCTCCCTGTAAAGCGCCACGACAGCCAAGCGCTCGCCGTGCCGATCCCACAGCGACGAGCAGGGGACCACGGCGCCGTACTCGTCGCTCGCCGAGACCTCGCCCACGAGATCCCCGTCGAGATACATAAGATAGGGACGGCGGTCCCCCGCCGCCGCCGCCATCCCACGCAACCCCGAGGCCGTGCATGGCGCCCGCTGCAGGGCAGCATCCAGCACGGACGAGACCGTCTCGGCACTCATCTTGCCTCCCTGGCCCGGGGGCGCGCCGACTGACACAACCGTGTGGGCAAAAACCCCGCCGCCGCCGCCGCCGCCGCCCCCGGGGCACACCACCAGCGTCTGGTGTGCGACCCAGGGGGCTGCGGAGCCGGCGTCCGGCGACGACCAGGAGCGGGTGGCGACCGAGGCCGCCGCCAGGCCCGAGAGTCCGACCTGCGCGTGCCACTCGGCGCCGGATCCGCGCGGCAGCTCCTCAACCTCGGCGAGGAAGAAGGGCGGGGCCTGTCCGTCCCTGCCGCGGGGCCGCGACGTCTGCTGCCCGGCGCCGACGTGGTCCGGCTGGTGGTCCACGACGCCCCAGTCGGGCAGGCGTCGCCCCTGTTTCTTGGTCTTGCCTTGGCTGTAGCCTCTGTAGGCCGGGTTGTACTTCCTGTCCCATATGTCGGGCCCGTCGTCTTCGTCATCGTCGTCCTCGCCATCTGGCGGCTTGTGCGCACGAGTCCACGCGGCCGAGGCTACTACCGACTTTGTCTGTGGCGTCATGGACGAGGCGTCCCCGCCGCTTGTGCGAGGGATGTAGAGAACTGCACTACTCCACCACTGGACACTCATTTCAACTCCAACACGCCATAGGTGCTGTAGTGAGAGCACGGCCTGCATGGCGAACATGCCCGACTCGGTGCCTGGTACATCACATTGAGGCAGCTCCATAGTGGCTGGGATGAGGGGAATCTGGCCGGCGATAAAGACTAGGCGGGCCGAGGAGGAGGAGGATGGTGACAGGCGGGACAGGTGCGGGGCATCTTCATCCCCTTCCTCATCGCTATCTGCCGCCGTGATGGCCTGCGGGGGAAATATGCCATCCAGGGGCATGGTAATAGCCTGGCTGTAAGGGCCAATGTTTGCCGGGGCCCAGTACGAGCGGGACTGCACGTGCAGCCCGTCCCGCCCGCCATCTACTGGAAAGCGAGGGGCGGAGTGGACTGTCAGGGAGACCGAGATGTTGCAGCCTGCGGGGAGGAGCCGATCGCCGCACGAGATGGTGACGCGCGAGGGCGGGTTGGGCGCCGTGAACAGGGCGCCGTACTCGCCGTTGATGGTCGGAAAGTCGGCCATCCTGCGCAGCACCACGACCGCGGAGACGATGTTCGAGGGGGTCAGCGACCTCTTGCTCAGCCAGGCGCGGATCTGGGCGACAATGTCCCGGGTCTCCTCCCCCACCGACCGGACGGCGGCGCCTGGGGCCGGGTGCGCCGCCGCCAGCACGGTCCACTGCTCAAGGCACGAGTCGACTCGGGTGAGGGCGTCGTCGCCATCGCAGCTGTAGCGCCAGCCCGCGCTGGGTTCCTGATGCGCGGTCCTTTGGTCCTCCAGATCGCCAGCCTTGTCGAGCGCCAAGGGCGACGCTAGAATGGCGGCGAAGTCGTCGTCCAGTAGCCTGATGCTCCCGGCCAGCGCGGTCGGGTCCCAGGCCGCGCCACCCTCGTCATCCTTCCCTTTCTCTTGCTCATGCTCCTCCAGCCGGGCCCCGTTGATGCTGAGCCAGGCCGCGCCGCCGCCCTCCCTCACCAGCCGCCTCGCGACGTCATCGACCACGATGCGCCTCTTGAACAGGCAGCGCGGCCCGTTGACGACAAGGGTCTCAAACTCGCCGCCCTCGCCCAGCACGGCGCCGTCGGGCCGCAGGGGGTCCCCGCCGCCGCCGCCGCCGCTCTCGGCAGAGAACATGGCCATGGCCCTGGTGAGCCTCGCGACCCCGCGGCGGCCGGCAACGTCCTCCCACAGGAACGACTCGTCCAGGCCGCCGCTGGCGACCTTGACGACGCGGGCCTCGAGGCCCGCCGAGCCCATGTCGCGCAGCAACTGGGCACCGTCGTCTTCGTCGTCGTCACCCGAAGACGACCGTGACGGCAGGACGGGAAACTTCCAGAGAAAGGCCAGCGGCACGAGCCCCAGGCGCACGGCCACCGACTCGACGCGGGTGCGCTGGTACGTGCTGAGTATGGCTCCGGCGCAGACGGCGTTGGCCTCTGGGTGAGCCGCCATGACGGTCCTGAGCAGGGGCACCATGGACTCGGTCTCGTCGCCAGCGCCAGTGCCGCTCTCCTCCTGCTGATGCTGGGCCGCCGCGGAGCAGTCATAGTCTCGCGCCTGCTGGAGGGCGCCGCCGGCGATGGCGCGGCGGAAGAGCGGCAGGCCCGTGGCGCCCGCGTAGAGGGGTATGACCTGGTGGCCGACGGTCTGGTACATGAAACTGTTCAGGTCCGTCTCGTCGCCACCGTCGTCGTCGTCGACTCCTGCATGGCCGCCGGGCTCGGGGCCGGCGGGGTGCAGGTTCGCCAGGGCGACGACGCGGTGCTGGTGGGCGAGGCAGTGGAGGAGCGAGAAGAAGCTGTCCTTGCCCCCCGAGACCAGGGCTATGACATTGAGCGGCGCCATTGGGGGTACCTAGTAGGTAGGTTGTCGGCTAGAACATGTGGCTGACCTCCCCCGGCCAGCTACCTGGGTTGGTAGCCCAGCTGGCCTCGATCTGCGCCGCCTGTCTTTGGCCAGGCTCCGGCACTTGTGTGGCCCGCTCGGGCTCTGGTCGTCACGGCTTCCTGGAACCGGGCGCCGGGCTGATCTGCAGTGGGACCTTCCTCCAGGAGCGTGGTACTTTGACGTCGAGGTGGGCAGTGTTAGTCCCAGTTGGTAATGGCAAATTTCCATCGCCCTGGACATGGCGGGGAGCAGGAGGGGGGGGGGAAACGATATTGAGTCAGCACAGATCTCCAGCGATAGCCTTCATGTTCGATGGAGCGCGCACGGTCTCGGGCGAGAGGTTTGACAGCCCGCGCGCCAAAGCTGTCAAAATGAGAAATCAATACATCAATAGATTGCCAGGCTGGCCTTCATATTCTCCGACAAGCTACCTATCAATTGCATGGAATTGTCAATGTTCGGGACATGAGCGCCAAACAACGCCCCCCGGCCTTGGGTGCAGTAGTCCCAGCACCCACACCACCCCCTGCGTCGTCCCCAACCGCAGCCATGCAGGTACTCGGACGCAGCACTCTCTAGGGCATCACAGCAGGACGGGAAAAGCAGGACGCGTGCCGACGCCAAGCAACCCCCCATTCATCCACCGAGCGCTGCTGCCCATTGTTGGGTTAATGGAGGGGGTTTACGCGTGCCGGTCAGTGCACCCCAGCCAGCCAGCCGCACGGGCTCGAGATCGTCAGGGTCCGGCCGAGCTTTGAGGGGGCGGGGTGGGTGGCTAGCACCTCCTCCGGGCTGAATCATATGGTGACGATCTAGACGCCTCCCAGTGTGTCAGACCATCAGCTCCTCCTCCTCCTCCTCCTCCTCCTCCTCCTCCTCCTCCTCCTCGCGAGCCGTGACATGGCCGGCGCG